GGAGAGGAGGTGGTGGGGTTGGGTAGGGGTGGGGGTATGGGGGTAGTGTTTGGTCAAGGCACAGTCAAGAGGAGGGGCGGCAGGTGGGGAGAAGGGAGGTCAGTGCTTTTGTTTTTGTTTCGTTTTTCATTTACCTTGGTGGTGAAGAGAGAGAGAACAAGTTCCCACTGCGGTGGCGTCGCGCAAAAAGTCCTCCCCATGGCTCACGCCGCCACGCTCACGCACGGCTGCACGCTGGCCGTTCCAGGTGGCACGGTGACCTAATTCAGTTGAGATAGTTAGTTCAGAGCTGGACTGTCGCGGGGCTTTTTTTTTTTTTTTTTGCGGCAGAGTTACAGGTTATCACACATGCAGGTCTGAGAGTAGAGTGGACACAGAGACACACGGAGGGGAAGAATTTGGTGCAGCAGGGAAAGACCAGACTAGACCAGACCAGACCAGACGCACACCCATCAACCCCAGGAACAGGACTGCTCCACAGATCAAAATGCACCCAGGCCATTCTATCTGTGTGCCTCTCCCCAGCTCTCAACATGATTTCACAGTGTGTATATACAATGTCCTTTCTGCTGGGAAATCAATTTAATAAAAAAAAAGGACTATACCAAGCCTTTCTTGCCACAATTAAATACTGAAGTGATTTGGTCAGGTGCAAACCTTCATATGAATTTTGATTTGCACCCACTTTGAGAGGCTGGAGAGAGAAAGGAGCACCAACCCGCACTTACCCTGACCAAAGAGAGCAAAGCTGGGCCAGCATCTACACCTGTCTCCCCCTGGGTCCCCAGTCAAATGGGTCTGGTGGTCATTTTACACAAGAGAAACAGATAGTGGAGAAGAACATAAACAAGAAGGGGAAATGTCCAAACCCTTTGCTTTCTTTTACCACAGTAGTCAGCCAAACATTCTTTATTATAATAATGATTATAGTTTACATATTCTCAATAAAAAGCATGCTGATTTTTTATTTTTTTTTACTTTTTTTTTGGTCTTTTCTTAAAAAAAAAAGGCAAAATTAAAATACTTCTCTAAAAAATACGGTCTCAAACATGGCAAACAAGACATTTCGCAAACCACATAATTCTACAAAGGATGCAACTGGTATGTGTTTGTATATACAACACAGAAAGATTACACTGTGAGATGCAAAAGTCACTTAACCACTAAAAACCACACGGGGAGAGGGGAGGGGGGAAACAGCGAGGCAGTAAGGTGATTTCAGAGGGTATGTTTGTGTGTGCATCAGACCGCTATCAAATAGTGGTTGCAAAAAAAAAACTGTGTTGTGATTGTTTTAATTGATTGCGGAACCAAATGTGTGGAATTTGCCACTCAGGACAAGCTCATGAATGTCAAAAAGTGCCTGTACTTGCAAGTCAAGCTTTTGTTATCCTGATGCAGCAAACCCCACCTACTAGGTCCAAAAACCAGATTAAAACAGACACTAAAATATCTTTGCAATTACAATCTGAAGCAGGTCTGGTAGTTGGAAAAAGTATGATAGCTGGGGCAACTGGAAGACACTGCCCCATCTCTCACTTCATTGGTGCTATCACTGTCGTTCCTGCTTAAAACCAGCGGCTAATTGTGAACCTGTGAGGCTCAGTTTTGTGGCTTTTTAGAAACCTTATGATATGAAACAAATCTAACACAGGAGTGCAAGTCCATGAGAAGACTCCCTTCCTCGCAGCCTTCTGGATACTAAGCTCTGTAGGGCTCCCGTTACCCCCGTTACCCCCCTTCCCTTGAAATGATTAAAAAGTCAAAAGCACTTAAAATGGGAGATCCCTCCACGTAATGCACTTCACTCAAAGCTTATAGGCACATAATTGAGCTTGTCACATATTCATAAATCCTAATAGGATGCAGTGTAAAAATCCTTTGTAAACAGCTCATTCAGTAGTCACACATGGGTTATTTTTTCCATTTACAATTCATTACATCCCAGGTTGACTTGTATTCCATATAAACTAACACTAAAACAAACAAAACACAAACCATTCTTTAAAAAAAAGGCCTCTGAACATGTAGGAGGACTTAATACAGAATATCTACAAAAGTCACTGCCACTGAAATCCGGCTCCTCCCTCCCTAAACTGCTGAGCCTGTACCTTTACAGGAGCACGAAATGTACTGCTGACTGGGTGAAAGGTGTGGAATATAATATAATAGACTCCACTGAAATTTACTGTCAGAGAGGTAGGCAGCTGTAGTTAGAAAGAGAAAGAGAGGCGAAGCAGTGTCTTCCAGTGTTGTAGTTAGAGTACAGGTGGGGGAAAAAGGGGTCAAGGAGAGATCCAAACATACAATACAGTACGTATTATGTGTGCTTTACTTTTTTTTTTTCTGCAAGGCGCAGTCTTAGCTGCTGCATTTGTGCGCTGCAAGGTCAGGAGCCCGCACATACCTCTCTCTTGCACTCGTATACACATACTACATCCACATCACATTCAAGACAAACACTCCCCCAAAACACATCAACCTTGGTTCTGTTGGGAACGATGCAATGCAGCCAGTACACAATATGTGTTTATCTGACTTCCCATCTGATTATAAATCTAAACTCTTCAACATAAGGCAAAAAAGGTTTCAAATTAGCTGCCCTAACTGATCATCTAGGCCTAAGGAGGATGGCTGATGTCTTTTATCGTAGATTTGGCCTTAGAAAATCATAACTGGGTTGCAGAAATAAAGGCATATGAAACAACTGACTGGATCAGTCTAATACTGGCACAAGTGTGAGACTGGCACAATAAAAAAGTAAAACTGAGAAGCACAAAAAATGCCCGTACAACAGATGAGAGCCTCCCTTTCGTGGCTGCACTGTGTGTATGCAAACAGGACCAAGGTTAGCTGATCAAGTCCCTCGTAAAGCAGGTTAATAAACCAAGGAGCCCCCAGTGTCAAACCCCACCCCACACACTTAGAGCCCTCAAACGCACACAAACTCACATACACACACACATACAGCTGCTGTAAGGTGGTCAAGTTTGGGGTGGAAGAGGGGATGGGGTTCAGGGCAAAGAGGAAGGGGTGGGGGCAGAGAGTTGTGTGCGACTATCGGAAGGGGGGCTCAGGCGTGTGAAGGGAGAGTTCGGGGCGGCGGAGGATGGCCTCCTTGCGCGTGGGCGGCGGCAACGGCGGCTCATACACCCTGGGCGCAGCCATGGCGGCTGCCACTGCCGCAGCTGTGGGGACCACTGGCCTGAGGGCATCCAGCGTGGCAACTGGCTGGGCGGACATCGTGGGTACAGCTTGGACTGCTGACACTCCCGGCATGCCAGGGATGGCTGTCACTGCGTTCGGCGGTGGGTAAGCGTACTGGAACTGGGGGTACTGCTGCAGCTGCTGGTAGTACTCCGCATAATACCTAAGAGAATGGAGGAAGGGGAATAGAGATGGATGGGTGGGGAGAGGAGGGATTAGGTAGGAAGAGGGACAGCATGGGCCTTTATTGTGGCACTTGGCAACACAGTGGGAATAACAAGAAAGTGATAAAGCGAACAGGAAGCATGGATGATTCAAAAAAAGCATTTATCAGCCATTAGAAATGTGCATGCAAGATTTTTTAAGCATGACTAGAACAAGAAAATATCAGATTCCTAGAGGTAAACTTTCTGGGAATCTTTCAGTGGTGCTGCAGAGCTGATGGTAAAAACAATCAAGGATCGTGTCCTACCTGGCCATGGGGTCCTCTGCAGCCTCCACTGCTTCTTCTGCCGCTCGGCCAGCTGGCGTGGGCAGCAGGGGTCGGCGTGGCTTGGCTCTCTGGTACATGAACGGCTTCATCACAGGGTCTGGTAACAACGACCTCCGTAGGGGACTGCGGTCTCTCTCACCAGACTTTGCCACAGCTGCTGCTGCTGCTGCTGCTGCAGCCACTGATTGCTGCTCGGCCACAACCTGCTGGCCCTGGGCAAAGTAATGTGCCTGTCTGGCTGCCTCAAAGATGGCTGTAGGGTCTGCTGCTCCCATGGCGCTTATATGAGCGTAGGCTGGTGTAGCGGCACCGTAAATTGCTGGAGATACAGTGTAGGCGGGGTTGACTGCAGCCGCTGCTGTTGGCATTTCTAATCCATGAGCAGCAGTCAGATAGACAGGGGTGTTGGCCATAGTTGGGGTGTACACCGGAGTAGAGTAGGCAGCGGCGGCGGCAGCCGCAGCAGCAGCCGCCGGAGATGCAGCCATCTGGCCGTAAATGTTGGGGGTCATCGAGCTGTACATTTGGGTGGCGCCTGATGTAAGAGCTGCCTGATTGGCCACCGTTCCATAAAGCTGATTGGCAACATTGGCACCATACACCTGGCTGGCAAGGGCACCATAAACAGCTGGATTCACTGGGTTTCCATCAGTGCGTGTGCCTGTGGTGATCCCAGTGAGAGCCGCATATGTGGGATCAAAGGTGGAGGTGTTGTAGACTGAATTGTGCACGCTTTGTTGGACTTGCAGTGGCAGGCCGGCGGCTGCAGCAGCAGCGGCGGCTAAGACCGCTGCCTGACTCTGGTACTGCTCCAGAGAAGGCTTCCCCACAGGGCATTCTCCAGCATAGTGGCCCTGCTTTCCACAGTTAACGCAGGGGATTTTTCCTGTAGGTGCCTGCTTGCTGGGCTGGACCTTGGACAGCTCTACAGACAGGGGACGGCCCTTAAACGAGGTGCCATGCAGGGCCTCGATGGCCTGGAGAGCATCTTCCTTGTTTTCCATATGGACAAAGGCATAGCCTGCGGAAGAGGAATGCCTGGCTGTCATTGAGCGCAGGGACAACAGTTAGGATCACAGTGGCATTGCCACAGGCACTTACTTATTACTTCTACGAAAAAGTACAAATTGCGGGAAAGAAAACCACCTTGTCCATCTTTACAACAAGGATTACTTTGTGTATAACAACAACGTCAGATTCTGACTCATCAACTCAATACTTGGAATAAGATCAGTCAGATACGATCTCTTACCTGCACTATGGCATGACTTCACTCACAACACTTATTTTACTAACAACAAGCACAACTTGAGAGGAATGTGCTTGGAAGGGAGCATTTTAAAACAATTCAAATGTTACAAGGGTCTTTACTCACCTTTGACTTTGTCACACTCAAGAACTTTTCCAAATGTCTGGAACAGCTGCTGGAGGTCTTCAGTGGTGCACATCCCACTCAGATTACCCACAAACACCTTGGTGGAGTGCAACGGCCTTCCTCTCGACTCCTCCACCACCAAATTCCGTCCACGAAACTCCCGCCCATTGAGCTCCCGGATGGCGCGCTCGGCGGCACCCTCACCCTGCAAGTGGACAAAGGCAAACTGTCGCAGCACACTGCAGCTGACCACCTGGCCGTAGGGTTCGAAGATGGCTGACAGCTCCTCCTGGGTGGTGTCCAACGCCAAGTTGCCCACGAAGAGCTTCACTGTGTGGCTCTTGTCCATGGCGCTGCAGAGAAATAGAGGAGTGATGTACTTGACTGTGGTTAGAGATAAGTGAGGGGATTAACTGCCACAGATAGAACAACTACTGAGTGGGAACAAAGCCACACCTGATGAGGGGAAGGAAGTACTGGAGTGCAATTGTCTGAATACAGGGTTGGACTGCAGTGCACAGGGACATAGCTGACCCAGCTATTTAGTGTCTTTCAGGGTTTAAAAATGTCTGTGAGGGAGCTGGTGCTGCTGAGTTTAGGTTGCCCCATTTCTCTGACATGAAACTTACAGAGATAAGCGAATTAAAAAACTGGAAATCAAGAGATTAGGCACACAAATTTTTAAAAAATGTGGCAACATGTGATTTGGAGGAAACTGTGCTACATGCACTCTTGATAAAGAACCTCAGTGCATGTATAAATCAGAGCAGCCAGATTAACATTCAAATAGCACAAATTAAAAACCACAGACATTACATTTGCATGTGAGTTGGCCACTCAGGTCACCAGAGCTCATATTAGGCTTAACAAAGCATGGTTTCCCCTACAGGAACTAAGAAAATGCCTTATTTCTGTGAAAAACAGCTAAATATTTCCAATATATATCACAGAGCAAAGGCAGTTTGAAGGAGATCTTTTGAGGATCTCATTCTCACTTAAGAGGAGGCTGTGATCACTCATACAGCGATGAGTCATGCACAGGAAACAGCCAGGGGAAATGAGCATTTCAGGTGAGAGCGCAGTGTCTCAATTCACACAGCATTTTAAAGCGGTGATGGCACAAACTTTCGGGCCTGCGTGATACAGAATATGCTCTCCGTGTTGGAAAAAAGGCTCGACTTTCCTCAATTCCCTCCTCACGTGCAAGCTTCTAAATCTACAGGTCAAACTGAAAGCGTGTTTCTACAGGTTGGCCAACACCTTTCCTCCCTCCTGAACAACCCTTATGGCTGGCTGTAAATCAAAGGGCAAAGTGGAACATGACACCAGGGAAGGACATTTCTATTTTTTGGTTTAGGCTCCTGCCAGCTGCTACTGACTGAACTACACCTCCTTCCTCCTAATGCTGCTGCTTCTCCTCATAGAAAAACAGGTTCAAAGAGATGCAAGTAAATCTGCTTCAGTGTTTAGATACTGTATGTATGTGAGTGTGCCCCCCCAGTACATATGGCTGCTGCATTCACACTGGATTCATTTGAGGAATAACCAGGGGGAAGCTGGTTTTCTGATGACGCAGCACGACGCTGAGTCAACACATTTTCACCACTCGGGTCATTTTTTTTTTTTTTTTACCATTTACCATTACACAATGGACAAAAAGACACAATAAATTGGTTAGAAACAGATTCAAATCAGGTCCACGTTGGCTGTATATATATATGAAAAAAAGAATGTGAATGGCGAGACGGGATGCTTATTGGTTTCACTCTGGTGTCCAAAGCAAAACAAGCCCTAAGGCGAAAACAAGGCATGGTGGGGGGAAATAAATAAAAACACTCGATTTCGCTCTGTTATGCGCAACAAGGACGACAAACACACAATATCGGATGCAACAACAGGCTCTCAATAGGAGATCGATACAATGTAACAATCATTTTTTCCGCGCACAGGACTGAATACAGTGTAACACCGAGTGATTCCTGTGCAACAACACGGTTTTATAGTCTGTCGCTACAACAAACCCGTCACAAACACTCGAGCTTTAAGACGAATTGGCGTTAATTACCTCCCATGCGGCTCAGATGAGAATAATACTGCAGAAAAGGCGATTAAATAAAAGGATCTACCATCTTACCTAGGCGGTGCTGTATTTCAAAATGGTAGCGCCTGCTTCCGTCTGCATGTCGGGCATACTGCTGGAGAGGCTGCAGAGGGGGAGGGCTGCTGCTGCTGCTGCTGCTGCACCCAGAGGATGCTGATTCCTCACAAAAACGCATGAACACATGAAATGACTCAAGCACGCACACACACACACACGAAAGCCAGTGTAAGGCTGGTTAATTTATCAGAGCCACTTAAGAGAATAAAAGGCCACCTCTATGCCACAGGGCTCTGCTCCAACGGGACAGGAAGGGAGCCAGTGAGTTCAATTAAAGAGTTCATTATGTTCCATGAATAAATAAATAAATAAA